TCATGAAAGAGACGGACACTTGAAAAGACGCGAGGGAGAAAAACGCCCAGGTTCCATCATTTTGCAGTGCAAGCTGCCGGCGGCAAGCCAGAGCTCCCCTCTTTCCCTGGATTCAGACCCTCCCTGCCATCCAGCCAGCTCATCATGCATCATGGGAGGAAGTCTTTTCCTACAGTCAACAAGCTCGAAGACAGTTTAAAGGGAGCTCGGACGCCCAGCCCCGCTCTGAACTTCCGAAGAGCCTTCTTCCTGATCAATGCCGTTAGCCAGCCTCGTTGTGACGAATACTTCTGGGTCAAACCTTAGAGCTGGTAGAACAACTTAAACGTAGTAACAGTCCACAAGACACATCCCACCGCACGGCACACTGGGCTGTCCTCCATCCAAACCCGCCATCCACGTGACCAGCCTCTGCCACTTCTTCATCAAATGCACTTTTCCAACAGCTCGGCCATTCTGCCAGTCTTGCCCACTAATGTACGCCCTGAAGTCCAATGCCACTTCTAACGGCTTTCACGTCACTCCAGATTTCTGTGGAGTTTTGGGGAACGTAAGACCGTGGAGAAAACCCTCAAAGACAGCCTGTGTATGAGACCACCTGAAGCCATCGTGACTGACCTCAGGGGGGCTTTTCATGTCTTAACGATCCTTCCACAGAAGACAGGCCTCACCCCCACTCCTTGGGTGCAGTGCCGGGCCCACCCCATTGCCCCAACTGCCTCTCTTCTCAGGCATCTTCCCATCTCTTTGGGGAGCCCCACCAATGGTCTCTCACCGAGACTTCGTCCGGCCGAGGGGGTGCAATTTCCCACCTTCCCCAGCCTTCTGGTTACCCTCCTCTGAATGACTGCTGGCTTCTGTCCCTTTCTAGGCCTTGTCTTGGGAACGTCAACATTCGAGAGGCTGGCCCCTTAGTGCTTTTAGCCTTTATTTTCTCCTCTCTGAGCAACAGCTCTGGAATACCAGTGCCTCTGTCGTACCAGACTTGCTCTAGGGGGAGGCTGGCCCCTCAGGGTGACACACCAGCTCTCCTCCTGCCCCCCTGCGGGGGCGGGGTGGGCTCTGGCTCACCCCCGCCGTCCCCCGCTCCCCCTGGGCCCGGTCCCTCTCCAGCTCACAGCCCTCTTCAGCGCTCTGCCCCTTCTCTCTGGGAAGCCCTGGGCGGCCCCCACCACTTGCCTCTGCGCCCCACCTTTTCTCACCCTGTCCCATGGTCTGGAGGAAGGCCTGAGTGTCCCTGCTAATACGGTCTAGGATAAATTTATTTCTCCCTCTTCGCTTTAATCAGCGCCTCTCCGCACCGCTTTCTTGGCTCCCTGCCATGCTCATGCCTCTCCTCAAAGTTCTCCCTTTCTCACTCTCCAATCTCGCGCATTGCCCCCAAGAGCTCAGGCTGACGTTATCAGATGTTAAGCAGATGTCCCTGTTTGCAAAGCCTGTCCCTGTCCTCCTGGTAATTCTGTCCTTGGCTGCCCTGAGTCTCTGTGCCTGTCCCTGGCCTGGGCAGCACTGCCCAAGGAGGCCGTTCCTCTGCCCCCCAGCCACCGGCAGCCCCGTTTTCCTCCTCTCTCCTTACTCCAGATCACAGGACGACTGGCGTGGAAAAGGTTGCTCTGGGTTTCATTAATTCATTTGGGGTACTGGGAATGAAATATGGCATGCAAATGCATGTAAATGTATGCGCTTATGCAAAAATGATATGAAAATATGCCTTTAGATTCTCTGGAAGAAGTCTGATCACTCTCCGAATTCCTCCCCTCGTCAACAACATTACTTTGTAATTCCTTATCCCTTCAGCTCCCTGGTCTTTTAATGTCTGCCCACACTCAGCTCTCTGTCTCCCTTGTCTGCTGCTAACTTATTATTAATATTAAACACATTATTTCTGCTCTCCCTTCTTTCTATATGTGAATTTAAACACACAGATGAAGGCTAAAACTATTAGAAAAGTGTTCGTTTTCACTGGGGTGTAATTTACATTTCTTTTGTCAAGTCTGACCTTCTGTTAACCTTAATGAATACCAACTGCCTCCAGGTCATTATTGCTTTTTTAGCAACATGAATGTGTTTGTGTTTCTGCTTAAGTGGTACCTCTCCTCCACGCTGGGTCGGGTGATCTGGCGCACGCTGCCACCCATAATCCCTAGAAGTTAACAAGCCGAGCTCCTGACCATATTCAGGTCTCTGCCACTGCCATTTGCCACCTGGGTTCCACCTGCAGTGGACATGGCTTCCTTCCTCCAAAACAGCTCCCTCTCACTGTCCCCCCACCTCCTCACTTTCCTCCCTGAGCAGTACGGCTGGTGTGGACACACTTTCCGTTGTCTGGTTTTTTCTACGACCCACAGTCGGCCTGCAATGGGTTCCTTCCCCGGAAACCCCCTTGGTTGGTTCTTGGGAAGTCTCCAGTGCTCATGTTCTTCAAACTCCTTCTAACTTGGATCTTCTGAGCCTTGCCCTGGCCCAGCCCCTCAGGTGCACCCTCCTCACCCTGAGGGCAGGGCGACTGTCATGGCTCTCGGCCGTTTCCACCCCGCTCCACCACAGAAGTCTTGAGCCCCTGGCTCTTCCCTGGGCCTTGGTGGTAAAAGGCTTCTGATCTCTCTGCTGACCCCTGTCCCTCAACCTAGGGGCCTGCAAATCAGTCTGGTTTCTGTGAGGGCAGAGGCAGGACCTTTTGTGCCTTGGTAAGAGATTTCAGTTCTGGGCTTTAATTTGTGTCTGGCCCTAATATTATCCCCATTCATACATCTGAGGATGCTGAGGCACCAAGAGGGTGATTTGCTCGTGGTCCCAAAGCCAGTAAGTGACAGAGCTGGGATTCGAATCTCACACCTTTTCTGGCTTGGAGCCTCATCCTTAGCTTCTAGAGTGTACTGCAAAGGCCACCTTCTTCCCTTCTTAGGCCCCAAGCCATAGAAACACAGCTTTCCTGCACAGCCTGGGGATGGAGGCAGGAAAGAGAGGGCTGTGATGTGTCAGGGCTAGGGGGCCTGGGGGCTCTGGTGGCCTCGCCTCCACAGACACCATGTGGGGGGCAGTCTGGGGAACATAGGCCAGGGCGTGTCATTTACAAGGTCACCAAGAAGGGGCCATCCAAGCTGCCCTTTGGGGGTCATCCCAATCACAGGCCCTGGGCAGTATTAGACTCCAAGGATCTAAACCCTTCGGAATTTGTAGGCCTGCTGGTCTCAATCTGCCTCCAGTCTGGACAGTTTCTCAATATATCAGGATGCACTGAGAAAAGTCTTAAGGGTTTATGATGACTATTTTCTACTGGCAAGAATGCCTCTGAGCCAGACAAGGCTCAGCTGTTGCCCCTGATCCGGCAGGGCAGGTGAGGCCTCACCTGGGCCCCGCTCACCAGCTCCCCTGGCCGGGGCTAATCCTTTTGAAAGGAAAGCATCTGCCATTGGTTGCGGAGCTCGGGTGTCTCGAAAAGTTCCAAAGGTGAAACAGAAAACTTTCCCAGTGCGATTTTCCTATTTGATCTTTTGTCTCATGTGTTACCCTTGGGGATGAACAAGAAATACTTGTCTGAATAATTCATAGGCCCCGAGGTAGAAACACGCTGCTTCTTTTCAATAAAAAGGCTGGGTACACAGCGTTGATTATACCTCTTCTGCGATGATCTAGCAAAAGCACAGAGATCTGAAAAGCTCTTTACAAATCCCTCGTACAATAGAGAGACAAAAAATTAAAAGCCATGTAATATTTTTAATCAAACAGACTAATGTTTGGATAATATGTAAAATTATTTATAAAGCTGTACTGAGCTACAAAATGCTCAATAAAGGGAAGGTGAAAAAATCAAGTAGCTGTAATTATGATAAGCTCTGATTTATTTTTAAAACTGAAAACCAGTAGTCACTTTTGAAAGTGCTGAGCCCCTATCACTATGAGAAATGGCAAGAGAACGAAGGCTTTGGGATCCTTCTGAGAACATTTGACTTCTTAGGTACAAAACTGTACCCTCCTCGCGCTGGATGAGACTCACAGCCCCTCGAGCTGCTTGTTTTCATTTTACAGAAAGGAAACTGAGTGCAGACAGCTTAGGGTCTTTTTCCCCAAGGTTCAAGAGCCAGCGACTGATGGTGCAGGGTCTGTTCCCAGACTCCCTATCCAGTGCTCGCTCTTCGAATCCCACACTAACCCCTGATTACGGACACCGGGCTCCCAAGGGCTGCGGACATGAAGGCCACCTCAGCTCACTCTAAGGCTCCCTCTTCCTGTGGTTCATTAAATCAGAGATGCCCTACCCCTGAGTACGAAGCACAAATCCCAAACCTCAGCCTGGCACGCAGGGGCAGAGAGGCAGAAGGGCTTTTTAGCAGCAACTCAGACTTTGGTAACTTTTGAGTTTCGATTCAGACCCTCGCAAGAAGGTAACAGGAGACCGCCGGCTCAATACATGTGCCTAACACCGTCAGCGCAACGACGAGAAGCCTGCAGGTGATCAGGCCAGCTGATCCCCACTGGACCGAAGCTGAGGCGGAGGGAGAGCTGACTCCAGGCCAGGCAGGGAGGGGAGCAGCACGGGCAGCCCCAGGCTTCTGGCCTGGGCATCCGGGAGGCCGCAGGTGCATTTCTGGGGAGCCACCACCCCCATACGCAGGGGGGAAACTAGGTGACTTGCCTCCTCTAAGATGCCCCTACTAGCCGGCAGCCTCGGAGACAAGCTGGAGTCTCCCCGGGTGTGGACACCCCCCCGAGGTGGCTGCTACAAGCAAGGCCCAGAGGACCAGGGACTCCCACCACCCCTTGAGCAGAACAGGACCACTGGGTACTGCGGTTAAGGCTGAGCACGGCCAACTGCCACGGGCTCCATCTGCATAAACCACACAGGAATGGTGCTGCCGGCCCCATGCAACTCGACAGCCTGGCAGGCTAAGTGCATGGGCCTTCAAAGAGGAAGAGGGTTTAGGGGTCATGAGCTACCTGCTGCTTCCAAGGGGAGCCCCAATCCAGGAGTGGGGTCCCAGCCTGGCTCTGAGACTCACCAGTCGCTGCATGCTCTTCACGTGCGTGGGACTGATGGATAAGGCTTCTTCGTACCACCGCCGGGCTTCATCGAGGTTTCCCCGGAGCTCAGCAACCTGGCCGCGCATGTACAGGACGTTGTGGGACATCGGGAACAGGTTGGCAGCTTCCTGAGTACAGGCTGTGGCTTCTGCAGGCTTCCCGATGCCAATGTAGACTTCAGCTGTGCGGAGAGAGCAGAAGGCAGATGCTTTCCTGGTTCACTGCCCTTCAGAGGCCCTGCGAACTGCTGTGACTCTGGTTGGGGACATTTACAGCTCCCCCATGGGAGTCTGGCAGGGGCCCATCTGGAATACGCAGGGCCCAGAGCCAGCCAATCCCCCAGCCTGAGTGGACCCACCCACTGTGACACAGGGACTCCAGTCGCTCCTGCTGTAGGGCCTCAGAGGGCACACGTGTCACCATCCGCCAGAGGGGAGGTAGGCCGGCCTGACCCTGTCCCCCTCTGAGGACCCCCACGCTCAGGGCCCACCCTGGTATCCGGGGCACCTGCCTTCGGCCCTGACAACTGTAAAACCGTAAAGAAAGGGCTGGGATGGGCCCAGGGACAACTAAGCCAGAGGCACACAGCCCTTCAAGGGCACCAGCCTGTTCTCCTGATGCCAGAAAGTGTACACATGGAGCAGGCCGCGGCTTCCATGTTTACGGGCAGGAGATAAAATGGTTGCTCCATCACATCCTGCCCTCCAACCAGGGAGAGTTACTGCGCCCCGGAGACTATGAACCGTGCAACACTGACACAGCCCTCTGAAAACCAAGCTGTCGCTTTCCAAAAAAGCAGGAAAGCAACCTTTTCCTCCACTCGCAGGCCTCTGCTCTCTCCCGTGGAGTCCTGAGGTGCGTGTGCCTCCAGAAGTGGAGGGATGCTCAGGTGTCACCAGCCCGGTGCTTTGGCCTGTGCTCCGAGCGCTGGGCCCGCGTCTTCAAGGACACTGGACCCCTCTCCTCTTTCCTTGGCCGGATCTGTCAAGACTACTGCCCGAGTCCTCCTCAGGTGGCTGCTGTGCTCTGGGCCCACCGACCCCTTCTCCTCCGTCCCGCGCAGCCCCTGGCTCGTCGGTTCCTGCCTGGACCACTGGCCCTCCACCTCTGGCACCTACACCTCCAAGTTCCACACAGAGTAGTATTTTATGTATAATACAATGCACGCCAAAATAGAAATGGTAGGACAACACAATACAAAAGAAATAGAAAAGTTTTACTATTTTCCTTGGGCAGCACCTCACGAGTTGCCGTCTGGAGTCCGCTTTGGAACTGCCTTGACTAGGCTAGGGCCTCCTCGGGCCCCTCAGCTGCTGCCTGCCACATGGTCTGTCCCACCCAGCCGCTGCCAGGTCAGCCTCCTGAGGTAGACTCGTCCTCCCGCCTGCAGAAAAGCGCCCGTTCCTTAAGGCCCCCTGCTTCTGTTCACCCCTCACGCCCTTCAGCCTTCCGTCCAGCGGCCTCCTGGGGAGGCCTTCCCTGACCATCCTACTTAAAGTGCTGTTCCCCACGTCCTCAGCACGACCCTGTTTTGTTCTCTGCTTTCTTCTCCTCCCTAATTCCGACCAACAGGTTTATCTCGTTTGTCTCCCGTGCTGGCCGCGGGCCCCCTCTAGAAGGCAAGCCGTAGGCCACACAGGCGTAGGGACCGTGTTTGTGCTGCTCACTGCTGTGTTCCCAGGGATGAGAAGCGCACCTGGCCCAGGCAGAGCTCGGGAACCAGTTGCTGAATGAATGAATGAATGAACGAACGAACGAACGAACGAACGAACGAACGAACGAACGAACAAGAACAGTGACAACAGCAGCAGCTGACATTCATTCAACACGTGCTTCGCCCCAGGAAGTGCTCTGATTTCTCCCTTCAGCTGCACAGGATCCCGTGGTACCCAGGGGCACAGAACCACTGTACAGACGAGGAAACGGGTACAGGGAGCCTGAAGAGCTTGTCTCAGGGCCAGCTAGAGGCAGGGCCTGGCTGGAGGCCTGGGGATAGTGGCTCCCCTGTCCCCAAGTAACAGCCAGCTCCCTCGGCCTGGCATTAGGAGCCCTCGGGGGTGACTGGCTCTCCTGCCCTCACGAGCCTGTGTCCCTCCTGCTCCCCGACGGCCCAGGCTCTGCCCTGGGGAGCCAGTGCTGTTTCCACACAGGCTTTCGGTCTCCTGCCTCTTCCGGTGGTGCCATGACACCCCAGCCTCCCTCCAGGCCTGCTCCGCAGCCGCCGTCCCCGGCGGCCATCTGGGACCCACGCTTCCCCTCAGAGGGGAGCCCAGCCTTGGCGCTCTCTGACGGCCATGGCCCTACATGTGTTTTCCTGAGGGATCTGGGGTCCGCGCCTGGACGGCAAGCTTTCTATCTCCCTGCCTCCAGCTTCGAGTCCTGAGGCTGTGGCAAGGGCAGGCGTGTATCCCACGGCTGTGGAGTGTTAATGCTGCTCATTTTTTCACCTCAACCCTCCTGGGTGGCCCCTCTCCCGAAGCACCCTCTCTTTCCTGGTGATCATGTTCCCCAATGACTGGCTCCTCAGGCTAGGAGAGAGCCCTGGAGAACTCGGGCCCCGCGCCTGCCGGCTGTCTTCCAGCCCGTGGGTTCCCTCCTCGACAGGGGGATCCAGCCTCGCCCAGAGATGACGGGCTGGCCCAGGGACCCGCGGAGGGGAGCCCCCCAAGGCCCCCCGGACAGGGAAACAGGCCATTCAAATCCAGCCAAGCCCCGACGGCAGCAATGCTGGCTCGTCGTGCCTCCTGTCCTGCGAGGTCCCACCCACCAGGTGTTTACTGGGCACCTGTGCCACACAGGGACTCTGCAGGAAGAGGGGCGACACGGATCTGTCCTTCGGTTTGGGCCCTGGCAGAAGCCTGCCCCTCCCGGGAGATGAATACCCTCCTGACGCCACGGCGGGGCCGTCTGCTTCTGTCATGCAGCTCCCGGCCCGCTCTGGCCAGCCGGCGGCGCGCCCGCTGCGGTTTTGGGTTACCCGAGCGTGCCAGGGACTCGGGGAGAGCTGTACAGAACGTTCCTCCCACTGTACACTTGGCTCCTGACTTGCTCCCGTTTTGAAGGTGGGCTTATGGATTTCCATGGTCCCCAGGGCCTGCAGCTGATGGGGTGGGTGACCCCCTGGGCCTCTGCTGTCTAACTCACTATGGAAAAAGGACCAACTTGGGAGTGGGGACCGAATGCTTCTAGAATTTTTATAACAAGATCACGGGGGAGGGGGGGCTTAAGCACCGGCATGGCAATGTGCCCGTCAGTCCTGCTCTAGGAGGGTCCTCCGTGGGACCACGCGTCTCAGCGAGCACCAGCCACGAGTCTGATACTACTGCTTCCTTCCTGAGGAATTGATCAGAAAAGACAGACACTCTGCTGAGTCATGATCATGCAACTGGGAGAAAGAATCCAGGCCTCCAAGGACTTGTTTTCAGTGGCGCAGAAGTTATAGGAGGAGACCTGTATCGCTGGTGAAGCCGTGCTCCTGACACAGGGAGGGGGGCAGACAGGTGTGTGGCCTGGCTTCTCCTCAATGTGTCCATTTGAAGCTCAAACACAGCACCATGTGATGTGGCGATTTTCAAACCACCTTCCCCAGTGGAGCCTCTACTTCCAAAGGCATCTTAAGAGTGGCAGCTTGCCTCCCTCTTGGTTTGGGCCCCTGTCCCGGCTCCTGGGGACCCCAGGGCTCTAGGGTACCCAGTTTGTAAGCCAGTGTCCTGAGAACACGGCGGGTTGGGTGCTTGCACCTGGGCCGTGTGTGCGGCCTTGGGCACGGCAGGGCCGGTTCACCTGTCCGCCGGGGCCCGATGGCCCACGGCTCTCCCGGGACAGTGGTGAGGATCAACCGAGGTGGTGCAAGCCGAGCCCAGAGGTAGGTGAAACTGCCGAGGATGGCACTTAGTGGAGCCCCGCCACCTCCCAGACGGCAGGGATGACCCCAAGGTGCGGGGAGGTAAAACCACTTGGCAGAGCCTGCGGCTCTTTGGGCTGATGGGTGTATCTGGGGGTGCAGGGCCAGCCTCCCATTTTACCATGGCTCCTTTGAGATGAGGCTTAGAACAGTCACTCCCTCTTTACGAGGAAATCACAATCTTCCTGGGGCACAGAGTCTTAGGCTCCAGGAATGAAACCTTAGCGGTGGGATTTCTGACATCATTCGAATCATGTGGGGTGCGGCTGGAGAGGACGAGGGAAGGATTACAGAGCCCTCCCAGCATCCCTGAAATCCCCAGAGGGATCTTCTAGCCGAGGCGACACATCTGTCCCTCTGGAGTGCAACAAGTCCATGGAGATATTTACTCCGAGCTTATGCTGCATGGGAAGCCCTCCTTCTTGGGGCTGCACAGCCTAAACAAGGCTCAACACTTTCCCAGAGGAGGGGCTCACGAATGTCTATCCCCGATCCCACAGGGCTGCAGCTCCCGCCTTTGTGTTCCCATGGGCCTTCCATAAGCTCTGTCATCCTCTGGATCACGTCACCTTTGTTAGGGGACCCCCCCACCTTTGCTTCTTGTCTCTCTCAGGGGCTCATCTGCTACAGCCAGGCCCCCGGCCCCTCCCCAGCCCGCCACCAGGTCCCACCTGATTGGTGCATTTGGGAGAGGGGCTGGGGCTGGCTGACGGAGGGTAGGGGGGAGCCCTTCAGAGCCCTCTCTGTCCCAGGCCTTGTCTCTTAGACGCCTGCATTCTTGGCTTGCTCTTGCAGGCACATTCACTGGGTATTGCCTCTGCAATGGGGAGGCCAGCAGTCTGGGATTGGCGAATCTACCTTGGCCAAGCCACGTTCTCTGATTCAACCACCCTAGTAACTGAGCCTGTCAGTTTGAGCTCCGCTTTCCAGAACTCAGGAGCTAACGAGTATTGTTCATTCTTCCCTAAAGCCTCCAGAAGATGCCCAGTATTGTTTTCTCCCTCTAAATTATGAGCAACTCCCAACCACAGCCATCTCTGCTTTCCTCAGCACAGGCTCTGGCCTTTAGCAGGTGTTTAAGCCCTGGGTCTGTAGATTAGCGAGTGAGGGCCGCAGGAGGGCCATTTCTGCAGTGCAAGCCCATGAAGAAAGTCAAGGGCCAGGGAAGCAACAGCAGTTTCCCTGACCCTTCACCGGAGGCTAAATTCAACTTAAAAAAATAAGTGAACAAAGGGCCTTGTGAGCTTCTGAAGAGATGTAACAGCCTATACCAAAGA